AGAACAAGAATATGTTATTTCAGATTGCATTATATTTTCAGGTTGCTGCTGTGAGGACAAATAACAAATATGTTCCAATGCTGCAATCTGAAAATATGAAATATACAGTATGAAATAATATATTCTAGTTATGGACAAATAAATATATATGAATGCATATCATAATAAAATATGTTTTTTATAGAATATTGTCTGTTGCTTGATAGCGATAGAGTGAATCGATTATCCTTTTGTTTAATAATTATGTTTAAACGCAGCTCACTGTAAATGTCAAATCAAATCCAGTTGCCTATAAATATGCAATATGAAATAATGTATGTAATTATTGTTTTGTTATAAGAATATGTAAATAATAAACATAAAAATATAAAATAACAAATCAATAATACATTATCTCATATTGCATATTTGACATTTACAGATAGCTGTGTTGGAACATTACTATTGAACAGAAGAACAACCGATTCACTATCAAGTAACAGACAATATTCTACAGGGTGTCCCATTTTAAGTGTCCACCCCAAATATCTCTCTTATTTTTTATTTTAGAAAAAATGGTTCAGACACGTTTTATATGGTTTCGAGGGGGCCATAAGATGACCATTGAATTGACCTTGAAGAGTCATTTGAAGGTCACGTGAAAGTTACCTCAATTTTTTTAGATGGCACTCCCTATTTTTTATTACATATTCTTGTAGCTGACCTCGAGAACTTCCCAAAACACTATAATCAAATGTTTTTTGGTGAAGTACTTTTCGAGTTATAAAGCTCCAAATTTACAAAATTTTGATAAAAATACAAAATATTTCGTAAAACATTCACTTTTCAATATTCTTATCTTACATGATCCAACCAGTCAAGGCAAGATCCGAGCATGATCCAACCAGTCAAGGCAAGATCCGAGCATGATCTAGCCAGTCAAGACGAGATCCTGTATTGCCTAATAATCAATGAACTGTAACAATTGTGAAAGTGTAATTGTCAATTCTTTTAATGAAACAAATATCAAGAGGCTTGTTTCAAATTTCTTACTTGGGCAACTGTCGGTATTTTAGCGAAGTCTCAGACAGACGCATATTATTATCCATTGACTTTTTTATGATAAGACAGGAATTTTTGGTCTTTTAGCACTTCTTTTCTTTATAATTATGGTTGCTTATCCACCAATGAAATTGTGGACATGATTCGCATTTTGGGTGAGGCCAGGAATAATTATATGGCAGCAGAAAGGCTTTATGCTGAAAGATTTCTAGACAAACGCCATCTTGATAGGAAAGTAATAAAAAGACTCTGCGACAGGGCTGAACAGGGTTTTCTTAGAAGAAACCGGCGAAAATCTGGTCCTGATGAAGTAAAATCATTGACTGTTATAGGTGCCGTTGCTTTGAATCCTCAAATCTCTACGAGACAAATTCAGAGGCAATACGGTATCTAAATCAACAGCCAATCGTATGTTCAAGCTCAACAAGTTTCACCCATATCACATTCATCTAACTCAACAATTGGAAGAGAGGGATTACCAACGCCGTGTACATTTTCGTAATTGGGCTCGAGTTCAAATCCATTAAAATCCCCGGTTCATTGCTGATACGCTTTTTTCTGATGAAGTCACGTTTTGTAATAGAGGAGGCGTTAATAGACAACTGCCATTATTATTCAGATGCTAATCCACATTGGCAGAGAAGCCAAAAGTTTCAACGGCAGTGGTCCATTAACGTTTGGGCAGGCATCCTGGAAGATGTTATTGTTGGTCCATATTTTTTTTAAGAAAATCTCAATGCGGCAATCTATCTAAGATTTCTGCAAGATGACTTGCCCAACCTCTTGAGACATGTCGACAATGATTTATTCAGACTAATGTAGTTCCAACAAGATGGAGTACCGGCTCATAGATCTCGAGCTGTTACACAATATTTAAACAATAGATTCCCGAATAGGTGGATTGATATAAGCAGCCGATTTCAAGAATGGCCCCCAAGATCACTCGACTTGACACCCCTAGATTTTTATTTCTGGGACTACATTAGAGATATAGTTTATTCGCAAAAGCCTACAACCGTTGAAAATATGAAAAACCGGATGAGAGAGGCTTGCAGGAATATTAATGTAGGTGTTCTTGAAAAAGTTAGGGACAACTTTCACCATAGACTAGAGCTATACATACAAGTAAATGGCCAAATTTTTGAACACTTTAAGTAATTGTACATAAAAGAAGATCTTGCTTTGACTGGTTGGATCATGCTTGGATCTTGCCTTGACTGGCTGGATCATGCTCGGATCTTGCCTTGACTGGCTGGATCATGCTCGAATCTTGCCTTGACTGGTTGGATCACGTTCAGATTTTGCCTTGACTGGCTGGATCATGCTCGGACTTTTTTATTCTTTTCTTTCTTTTTTTTTTGGTAACGCAGGGAAAATCCATCATGAATACCCCCGACCCTTTGGGTGGCTCAGGGGTTATGTCAGACTCTTACTGACTAAAACCCCTACCGGATGTCTACCATTCGGACCGTTGCGAGGGGAGTTAGGGGAACTGCTCCCGCATTCCCTTCCCAACATCCCGGCCCCAGGGCTCTCCGGGAGCCCCACGCCATTGAATATCGCGCCCTGTATCGCAACGGAAGTCCAAGGCACGATTCCCCGGCTTGTTTCCCGACCGGGTTGGCCTTCCGGTGATTACTTGGAGGAAGGAGACATCCACCCCTCCTCCGCGTCCCCTATTTATCTCCCCTCCAAAGGAGTGGGGCAGCGGAGTGGAGCCCAGCCCCAACTAGGCTTCCACTCCCCCTCATCTACCCTATCCGACGCTCAGGGAGGAGGCGGGCGGACGATACCCGCCCCTCGTCGCCCCCTCCCCCCGCGCGGCCGAAGACGAGCCCGCGGCGGCCGGGAAGGCGGCCTCCGACGGACCGGAGGCCTGTCCTCCACGCCGGCCGGCGCCCCTTTGGGCTGGGTACTAACCCCGGGGAGTGCTTCCCTCCCGCCGCTGGCTGCGGCGGTCTCCGGGGTGACGCTCCCACTCGGCGGCCTCCTTCTGCGTTAGCACATGGCTCTTGCCATGCGCGGGAGCGACACATGCTCGGATCTTACATTCACTAACTGGATCATGCTCGGATCTTGCTTTGACTGGCTGGATCATGCTCGGATCTTGCCTTGACTGGCTGGATCATGCTGAATCTTTCTTTCTTTGACGAGGAGGGAATCCATCATGGATACCCTGACCTTCGGGAAAGGATCAGGGTTATGCCGGACTCCTACCGGTTAAAACCTTCCCGGGTGGCGCTGCGAAAGGACTTACCTCGGGGCCCCGGAGCCTATGTAACTGCTATCGGGACCCCGAGTTCGGACGTACGACCATCGTCGTTCTTTCGAGGGATGGAGGGGAAGCGAGCCGAAACTCCTCGTCAACCACCGCTCCCCTTTCACCCTCCACACCCTGTCTTTGTGGCTGGGAAGAGGGAAGCCGGCTAAAGGGTCTGCGCTTCGACCGCCGTTCCCAACGAGACAGGGCGCCGCCAAGATACTGTTGTGTGACTAGCCGATCCACCTTTTCAGCTAGTCACCCTGCGTTTGGAGGGCTGGTTAGGACATTGGGAGTCCCCGCCCAGTGCTCCACCCTTCTGCCCGGCGGTTACGGGGGGGAATAATTTTGTCCCCTAGCCGCCGGGCATATATGTGCCTATTTATATAAACGGGGAGGAGGCTAGCCCCTGCCCTCCTACCCACACTCCCATGGGCCAATTGAGGCGAGGGGGGGTGGATAGACAACTGCGTTGGCGTTTTACCCCCCCTCGTCCTCATTCGATCCCCACCTTGGAGACCGGTGGCCAACTGGGAGGTTACTGTCCCCCCCGGCCTTTGACTTCCTACCGTTACCGTGACGGTGGCGATGGTTTGTGCCAAAGCACTGGCCACCGTCATCCTTCCTGGTTGGGTCCCTCCCTTCCCGAGTTTTGCCCTGCGCGGTGGCATCACTCGAGTGGAGAAGGCCCTCCCTGAAGTAATGATGGGGGGACAAGGTAAGGAGTGGGGATGGGAATGAACAGAGTGTTGAAGAGGAGGTAGGGATGGGGGGAAGGGGTAACAGCGGAGGTGGTGGTGGGGAAAGCCTCATCATGCCCCTAATCGCCTCTTCTTCCGAAGAATCCGCATCTCCCTCCCGGCTGGGAGAGCTGCGCTCGGCTCGACGGCGATGTCGCCTCCTTTGGGTCCGCCCCCTTCTCTCCGCCTGACGACGGATCTCTTCCGCTGCCTTCTTCTGCGCCATTACGCTTTCGCAATGGAGGCGAACACATTCCATTTTTTCTCACTCCCCAGAATAGCGGTGACCACTCTGGGGAGTGAGAGATCTTGGCCCAGTTCCCTGACCACAACTCCGCGCTCCGCTGCCCAAACTGGGCAGTCCTGCAGCATGTGCTCCCCCGTGGACGCCACCTTGCCGTGGTAGGGGAGCTTGAAAGTCCCTATGATGTACAGAGCTGTGCCGGCGGGGGTTTTGGCCCCTGGCAGGTTCTACCATGCCGGAGTGGTCTGTACAGAGGGGCCAGACTAAGAGCGTCCATAATACTCCTGGATGGGCAGCTGCCTCCAGGTTTTAATCAGGGTCTGGAGGGTCTCATTCGTGGGGCCCAAAGGACCTTACAGCGCGGGCAGAACGGGCTCGTGAGCCGGGTGAAGGCAACCGTTCTAGGGGGATGCGGGTGGTGGCGCTGCCCGCTCGCGCCAAGCTATGTTACCGGTGCTTGGAACCGGGGCATGTGCGCGAGCGGTGCGATAGCGCCACCGACCGCAGCGGACTGTGCTATCGCTGCGGTAACCCCAGCCACCGCGTCAAAGGGTGCCAAGGGGCGGCTCGCTGCCCGGTCTGCGCCGAGGCGGGCAGGCCTTCCGATCACAAAATCGGAGGGCTTGCCTGCAAACCTTCTTCCTCCAGAAAGAGGAGGAGGGTTAAAGCGAGGAACGAAAACGAGGGAGAGCAGGGAAAGGGTAAGGCAGAGGAAATGCTGCTGACCGTGGTCGAGGGAGCTGAGGAAGTGGAGGCCCGAACCACTCTGGAGGACCCCGTGGACCGGACCCTGCTGATGGAGGAGGCCAGTCCGGTCTCCTTTGCTACGAGGGAACAGAAGGATGCTCCGAGAGGGGAACAGGAGGAGAGGGACTCCTCCCTAGTGTCGTGGGGACTTTCGGAAAGGACTTCGACACCTGTCCCGATGGAGATCGTGCCGCAGGCCCAAAGGAAAAGGCGAGGGGATGAGCGGAAGGATACAAACAGGAAGGATGGGACCAGCGGATTTTCCGAGGAGGACCAGATGGCCAAGGTAAGGCGGGTGCAGTCTGCGGACTCTGCCCCAACTACCCTAGTAGAAGAGGAGACAGTGGGTGATCCACCCCTGTCTCCCCTTGTGGTTGTAGACGACTCCCCCTCATACCCCCAGAGGGAGGAGTGGTCCAGGCAGGGACTCCCGAAAGGCATTCACCCTCCGCACACGAGGAGGCACAGGAAGTCATAGTCACCAAGGCCGAAGCCCCCTCTGGGGAGACTAAGGCGGCCCAGCCGCAAGGGGTCTCCCAAGAGGGGATAAAGGTAGACAGCCCGGAGGAGGCGTGTAAGGCCTAGCCGTCACGCCACTCCGGGTGCTACAGGCTAACCTCGGCCGCGGCGCCCGGGCCCAGGACCTGTGGGTACACAGGATCCGGGAACTGAGTGCCGGGCTGGGGGTGGCCACCGAGCCGAACTGGGTGCCAATTAGCAGTGAATGCTGGTTCGGCAGCCCGGACGGCTCGGTGGCCATGGTGGCTGACCCTGCAGCGGGGACCCCTCCCTGTATTTTAAGGGAGAAGGGGCCCTCGTACGTGGCGGTTGACTGGAGGCCTATAACTGTGGTGGGGGTATATCTCCCCCACCACAGAAACAAAGCCGGACTTGGCAACCCCGCCCGTATTAAACAGATCCTAGACAGGATCGGGGATTTGGTGCGCAAGTGCCATCCCCGACCTGTCGTGATTGCCGGGGACTTTAACTCCCACTCTGAGAAGTGGGGTTGTAGTCTCCGGCAACGGAATCCCAGCGGCGAGGTCGTCATCGGCTGGGCGGCGGGATTGGGCCTTCTGTTGTTAAACAGAGAGTCCACCGGCACCTGTATAATGCCGGGAGGGGTGTCATCGGTCATTGATTTGACATGGGCCTACCTCTCGGTCGCTAGGATGGTCTCCGAATGGAGGGTGGAGGTGGAGGGCGAGACATTATCTGACCATAGATATATAGTCTAGGCCCTCCGCCTCCCCAAACCAAAACAGGTGTCGGCCCGCCGCCCTGGGGAGAGGAACTTTCCTCTCCCCAAAAGATGGGCCCTCGGTCGACTAGATGTGGACAGGTTCAGGGCTGCTGTCCTTGTGGCCACCTGGCACATAGAGCCAGGTGAGTGGGCCCCTTGGAAGGGGCCGGGGAGATAACAGGGATAGTGGCGTCGGCATGCGACTCCGCGGTGCCCCGTTCCCACCCGCGTTAGCGCCATATTGGTGTCAGAGCATATTGGTGGTCAGAGGAAATAGCGAGACTTCGCAGTAACTCTGGCCGCGCCAGAAGGACGTATACGCGGGCCGGCGACAAAACGGGGATGCCACAAGGGCAAAAGAGGACTACCTTGCCGCCAGGGTAGTACTCAAGAGAACCATTAAAAAGGCCAAGTAGGAAGCCTGGGAGCACTTGGTGAGCTCCCTGGATGACGATCCGTGGGGGCGCCTATACAAAAGGACGATAGGGAAAATCGGTCCTTGGGTGCCCCCGCAAACGGAGACGTTGGACCCCCAGGCCCTCGATGGGCTCCTGGACGCCCTCTTTCCGAGGGTGGAAGGGGGCCCTCCCATGATCCCTTCCCCAGAAATGGGGGAGGGAGATTGGGACGAGGGCCTGGAGGTCACTCCAGAGGAGCTCGCTAAGGCCCGGAGAAAGCTCGGCGGTAAGGGCAAAGCCCCTGGTCCCGATGCGATTCCGGGCCGCGCCTAGGCTCTCGCGTTGGCCGAAGGGGACCTGTCCACAGCCACATGCAGGGTCATGACAGGGAGGGGGTTTTCTCCCCAGAGTGGAGGAGGGCCAAATCGGCCCTCCTCCCGAAGGAGGACAAGGAGCCCGGTAGTGCATCAGCCTACAAGCCGATCTGCATGCTGGACGAGGCCGGCAAGATGCTGGAGCGCATCATCGCTGACCGCCTCGTCCAGCACATATCCTCGAGTGGGCTGCACCTCCACGACCGCCAGTACGGGTTCAGGCCCGGACGATCCACGCTGGATGCAATCCAGTGGGTCCGGGACCTAACCTGGGCGGTCGTGGAGATAAGGGGCATGGTCTTGTTGGCGGTGTCGTTAGATATATCATATAACGCCTTCAACACCCTGCCCTGGCCGGAGATAGGACGAGCCGTCGAGCACTTCGGGGTGCCCATCTATCTCCAGCGGATGATGTCCGCCTACTTCGGGGACAGAGACCTCGCCTTCACGAAAGAAGGCAGGGTTCAAGGCTGGCGTACTATGGAGTGCGGTGTCCCGCAGGAGTCGGTGCTCGGCCCCCTGCTGTGGGACATCGGCTTCGACCGGGTTCTTCGCACTTCGCTCCCCGACGGCTGCCACGTCGTCTGCTACGCAGACGACACGTTAGTGGTGGCCGAAGGGGAGAACTGGGGTGAAGCCCGCTTCCATGCGGAGGTGGCAGTGGCATCGGTAGTGGGAACCATCGGAGACCTAGGTCTCAAGATGGCGCCCCAGAAGACTCAGACTGTATTCTTTCACGGCCGGGGTCGGTGGGCACCGCCGGAGACCTAGGTACTAGTTGATGACGTCCACGTCCGCGTCGGGCCGACGATGAAATATCTCGGCCTGACGTTGGACAGCCGATGGTCATTTGGGTCTCACTTCAGGCAGCTGGCCCCCAGGATGCGCAAAGCCGGACTGGCTGCAGCCGGGCTGATATGCGCCCAAGGGGGCCCAGGATGGCAGGCTCGCCGCCTGTATGTCGGTGCGGTTCTCTCGATCGCCCTGTACGGGGCGCCCGTCTGGGCGCCCCAGCTGCTGGCCACTGCAGTGGCTAGGCGGCTTATGAGGCAGGCCCTCAGGCCTCTCATGATCAGGGCGATTCGAGGGTTGCGCACAGTGTGTCATACATGGCGGCGACCAGCCTGGCCGGCTCCCCCCCCCTGTGGAGCTCCTAGCCGAGGAGAGGCGTGTCCTCTACTGACGGGTGAAGGAGCTCCGCGAGGGGGGAGAGCTGACGGCCAGGAGCCGGAAGGCCCTTATGACCCAGGCCAGAGACCGGATCCTGGAGCGGTGGGAAGGCGCGCTAGCCGACCCCCGAGAGTTCGGTCTCGCAACGGCCGAGGCTGTCCGCCCCTGTCTGTCCGAAGTGGCAGACAGGAGGTGGCGTGGAATGTCCTTCCACCTGGTGCAGGTATTGACCGGGCATGGTTGCTTCGGGAGATACCTACACCGGATAAGGAAGGAGCCCACCGCTCGGTGCCACCATTGCCCCGAGCAAGGACACGGCGCTCCATACCCTGGCTGCCTGCGCAGCATGGGACGAGCAGCGCCGTGTCCTGCTCGGGGCGGTGGATTGCCGAGACGGGGAGCTCTCACTCCCACACCTAGTGCGAGCTATATGCGGGAGCGAGAGAGTGTGGGACATGGCGGCCTCCTCCTGCAGGGAGGTAATCTCCCAGAAGGAGGCCGCCGAATGGAGGCGCCGGCCTGGCAAATGTCGTCGCGGAGGACGGCGTGGCCGGCACTCCCCGGGTTGGGGGTCAACAGCGGGCCCGAGGTGGCATCGGACGAGGAGAGGCCGCTGGCCTACACGGGCCGGCGCCTCCCTCGGCCACCTCGGGCCAGGCTCCGTCACTCGGGGGGGGGGGAGCGAGGAGAATAGCTGCCACTCCCGCGGGTGATCGGGTAGGAGGGAAAAGGGGAGGTGGACAACCCGATTGGGTTCGGGCCCACCTCCCCAATTCCCCCCTTTTCCTGAACCTTTCAGGAGCTGGGGATATGGAGGAAGGGTGGATCCCCTTCCCCCTAGGAGACACTAGAAAGCCAACCGGCGGGGTTACACGCCGTGGACTGCGCCCCTCCCACTAATTCCCTGAAAGGGGAAGGGGGTGCGGCCCCCCCAAGGGGGGGCGGGGGTATCCATAATGGATTTCCCCTGCGTGAACAAGAAAAGTTCTGGAGCGTGTGTTGCGCGGAGTCGTGGTGACACTGCGCTGTGCGATCCTTTCCAATTCTTTGCAGGTACTCACCGAAACAGCCATGTCCGGTGAGTACCTGCGTCATTTTAAATGTCAGGGCCCCTGATGCCCTGTCTACCCATTCCGGGAGACAGGGCTGGACGGCCTCGACAGACCTCTTCCCATATTTGGCTTATGCCAGATTCCTCTGCCATCTTTGGAGAAGTTTCTGCCGTTCCTGGTGCCTTATTCGTCACATAGCCCCGGCGAGCGTCTCACCTGCCCCCCTTTCTTCTGAGCTTCCCCCTTTTCCTATACACCGTACTGCGCATCAGGGCAAGGAACTCAAGGGGGCATGCTCGCCAGGGCCGTCGCCGCTACGTGGGCCACCGTTCTATATGACCCTGACTGTCACCGTCCCGTGCGCTCTGCGCAAGAGCGCTTGAAGTGAACGGCTGACAGCCAAGGCCTCCGCCCACACTGGCGCCCCATAGAGGGCTATCGAATTAAGTATCCCAGCGTGGAGGCGACGCGCCGTCCTGTCTGGTCCCCAGATGTTCGGCATCAACCTTGACAGGTTGGCAGACACTACTCTCAATCGGGAGACCAGGCAGCTTATATGCTCTTTAAAGCACCAGGTGCCGTCCAAAGTGAGGCCCACATAATTCATCTGGGCCTCTATGGGGACCCTGACCTTCCCCATCTGCAGCTGTTGTGCCTCGGGTGGCTTCATTCCTCGGCCGTGAAAGAATATTGCTTCTGTTTTTCTTTCAGCCACCACCAGGCCCAGACTGCGAATGGCATGCATAGCGCAGGCCACTGCGAAGTTTGCTGCTCCCACGGCTTCCCCCAGTCATTCCCCCCGGCCAGTATTAGTGTGTCGTCCACGTAGCAAATCATGCTACTGCCGGAAGGGAGGGCAGTCTGGAGGACTTTATCATATCCGAGGTTCCACAGGAGTGAGCTCAGTACGGATCCCCTCTCGCGTATTTTGCCGTCGGCGTCCCTCCAGCTCAGACGCTAACCCCGGAAATAATCCGGGATGATGGCCGTGAGGTAGGGCGGGAAGCCGAAATGTTCCTCCATGGCCTCCAGCACCCTACCCCAGGGCAGTGTGTTAAACGCGTTGGGTATGTCTAATGACATAGCCACCGCCACCCTGCCCTCCTGCACGATGGCCTCCATCCGATGAGCCCGATGAGGGTCCGTAGGCGCAGGATCGCGTCCACTGTTGACCTGCCCTCACGGAAGCCATATTGGCCGTCATTCAGGTTTGGGCCTGTCCGGGCCATATGCTCCGTGAAACGGGCCGCTAGCACTCTTTCGAAGACTTTGCCCGCCTCATCCAGGAGACATATGGGACGATACGCGGAGGGGGAGTCCTCCGGCTTGCCCTCTTTACGGAGGAGGATGACACTGGCCCTCCCCCAGACAGGGGGGAATTTTCGTTCCCTCAGGGCCTGTGTAAAGAGACTTGCCATCGTTGCATTTAAGTACCCCGAAGCCAGGGACTGGACTCTGCCGGGGACGCCATCAGGGCCAGACGCTTTCCGGTCCTTGATCCTCTTGATGGCCCCGGCCACCTCCTCCTCAGTGACCCCCGGTACCTCCTCCTGTTGTTCGGAGGTAGGGATTTGATATGGGCCCAATGGATCCCATTCCCTGATTGAGAAGAGAGTTTCCACGACCCTTTCTAGGAACCGGGAGTCCATCGTTTCCGTAAGCGGGGGCGTCCATAGCTTTAACTTTTGCATAACCATCTTATATGGACGCCCCCACGGATCCGCATCCAGCGTGAGGAGGAGGGTGTCCCACCCTTTTCCTATCGCCGCCCCTATTGCATCAAGCAGTTGCTTTGCTGCTCTGCAGAATTCTTTGCGGGCAGCCAGAACGGCCTCAGGGTCTGCCTCCGGGTCTCTTTGGTTCCGGAGTCTCCTAAAGTCCCGTCTGTGGTGAACGAATTCTCGTCGAAACTCGGCGATGTTTTTCGCCCACCACCAGGCGGTCCTCTTAGGGCAGGATATGACCCTGGGCATGGCCTGGTCATACGCTCGTGTGACCATT